TCCCACAATTGGTTTACCTCATATCTGTCCAACAGGATGCAGTATGTCTGGTATAATAATCATCAATCTGACTCCTTGCCAATCTTGTGTGGCATCCCCCAAGGCTCCATTCTCGGTCCAGTACTGTTTTTGCTGTACATAAATGACATAGTCCACGCCAGCACACTCATAAAATACAATTTATTTGTAGACGATAGTAATCTCTATGCCAGCAACTCAGACCTCCATTCCTTGATGAGAACTATGAACACTGAATTGACCTAAGTCAGGACCTGGGTAATACGTAATAAACTGACCTTAAACCTTGAGAAAACCCACTACACGATCTTTCACAGAATGAAAAACTTACCCCCAGACTTGGACCCCCAGTACCTTGGTAATACAGTCCTCAAATGCGAACAAAATACTTAACTGGAGAAACCACATACAAGCCATTCACAGTAAAGTCAATAAACAGTGCGGTATCATGTATCACACTCGACAGTCATTCACTCTCACAGCAATGAAAGAAATCTATCATGATCTTGTTTACCAACACCTGATTTACTGTCACACACTATGGGGGGCCTCTGGCTCTTCAAAAACACAATTCCTGGTTACTGCACAAAAGAGAGTCGTATGGACAATGACCTACTTGAAAAAAACAGATCACACAAACGAAAAATTTGCTAAATTCAAAATGTTAAAATTCGAAGATATTAACACCTACTGCTGTGCCCTCTTGGTTTACAAATCTATCAATCACTTGCTTGACAATAATTATTTCCAGTTCCGGAATAATCAGAGATACAAATTAAGGCACCCAGAGCTACTAAGACCACCCCCCATGCGCTCCTCTCAGTCCCAGAACTCCATAAAATATCACAGTGTGAAGGTGTGTAACTACTTACCCCCACCCATCCGAGCAAAGACTACGCTCCCTTCCTTTAAATCATCTCTAAAAAAATATCTATTGTCTAAGTATTAATATTTCTTGTAATACCTAAAATATTTACAGTACCTGCTTTTATTGTACCATCAAAACCGCTAATCGGAAATTATCATGTAAATATTTAAGAAATTACCATTGCAATAAACATATTTGCCAACAAGACATAATCCTGACAGCTCTGTCTTCTTGTTCAACCTTAATACTGTACAACCCATGTTGTACTGCTCCCCCATTATACTTATGTTTTTCAGTTCCACTGTAATTTATGTATACTGTATGCTTATAATATAAAAAAATAAAAATAAAAAATAAATAAAATAATAAATAAATAAAACAAATAAATATTGAAGTGATAACCGTGGTAACATTATGAGATGTTCTTATTACCACCATGCTATTGTACTATTCCAGATGTTACTAAATGTTACATAATACTTTCTTGAGATAAATGTATAGTACTGTATATATCAGGTGCCTAAAAGAGAGCTCAGGTTCTCAACTGGCTCAGCAATGTTAATATTGTTATTATTATCCACTCTGTATCTGTGTTTTTCTGGCTAAATAAACTGTTTCAATTCAATTCAATTTCAACAGCATGAGAATTTGCTTCTGATGAAGTAGCCAAGCAAGGGTTGTGACTGTAATCCTATAGAAAACCTATGGGGGACGATGGTTATACGTGGGAGCCTGAGACAGAGAGGACATCTCAACAGCTGATGGCCCATACGAGAAGGCAATGGGAAATGTTCCGTCAACATCCGCAACTCATTAGGAACCTCGTCTCATCAATGCCTGAGAGACTCCAGGCAGTCATTGAGAAGGCAGGAGGATGGACAATGTATTAAATGTGAAATAAATGCTAGTACAGTACTATTAACAGTAAAATTGAGGTAATGCATGCGTTAATATTACCCTACACCAGAGTAAATTATGTATTGCACGTGATAATGATCAAACTAAATGATTATTTGAAGCTTGATGGAACGGTCACTTAAACAGCAAGTTAGACAATGAATTTGTAAATTGGCTAAAAAAATTAGCAACTACTTTAGTGTCTGGAGGAAAATGATAAGGCTTGATTTTTTTTACCATGAATCACACTGTGTGGGTAGGTGGGGGTTAGAAGTAAGCATAAAAAAGTATTTTTAAAGGTACATTTAAAAATTAGCATATTACTCTTTTCATTTATAGGAAGTCAACCCCCTTAGAGTAACTACAAAATTGCTATTACACATAAAACGGACTTCTCAGAGTAATTAATCACACACCCACGTGTGTATGCAATATATATAATATGTATTGTAAAAGGATTAGAGAACAAAACATGGCCATGAAGAAAAACCAAAAGCACATTCTGTAGTTATGACTGAACTGCTAATCACTGACTGGAGCTGATCGACAGGCAGGCCAGGCCACCCATATCGGATGTAGTGCACAAAATTGCGCACTGGAAAAGTTTTTATTGCCAGTCAATACTATGGAAGTTAAACTTAATGAATTGTAAAATTTACTGAAAAATAGTTTGGTGTTAAATAACTGTATTTAGGAGTGGAAATGAAAGCAACAGGTTCACCTGGCAGTGGTTAACCATCCAGGTAGAGTACCGTAGTGTGGTTAGATCTAAGTGGATTCCTTCCCTGCTTACTATAGTCGCTTCAGACATTGCTCTCGGAAGCTTCCTCTAAATGACTATACAAACAAGTTTCATCGAAGTTATTCTAATTGAATCAGTGCTTATTAGCTTCCTCACCAAGTCTCAGCAAATACAGTGCTATCATTTGAAAGTTGTTTACCAGGAAAAATAATTATGCAAGCCAATCCATAGGGTAATTAATGCATAACTTCCTTCCTAATTATACACGCCACTGCTTGCATAGGCTGCCCTCGGCCTGTTTTAATAAATTAGGAATAATGAAAAGTTTTGCAAATATAACAACTTATATTCTCAATGTTTATTTGCATCATGCAGTAACCTTTGAGGATGATGGAGAATAAGTAAAAACTGAGTCCAGCCATGGCCGGCTACTCACGAACCTATACTTACGAACGTACGACTTATGAACGAGATTAAACTTGAAATTTAAATTTACAGTATTTTATTTACCTGATGCCCTACTTTTTACTTTCATTTACTGTATTTTGTTATTCTATTTCTTCTTTTGTCTTAAATTAAGTGATTTATTTTATATGTATATAAGGATTTAAGCTATGATATAGTGGGATTCTAAGCATTGTTCTGTAAGTACATTATGTACATAGCATGTATTCCGACTAACATACAAATCCGACTTGAGAATGTCTTCAGGAACAAAACCCGTCTGTAACACGGGGACCTCCTGCACACCACTGTAAACTGTCCTGCCTATTAGTTAATTGCTTCTTAAATATATGACAATCATATTACACCCCGTAGCATAATCTTTGTGTAATTTGACAATTCTATGAATTAAACATGTCTTTCAATTTCCTTGTCATGCTTGGTTGTACAGCCAATGTGATGGATATTCATTAAATAAATATCAGAACAACATTTCCCTCTAATTAGGCTCTGCTATGCTTAATTACTTAAGACACAGGTTAATGCCTATCGACTGCAAAAGCATCATTAAGGAAAATAAGACTCCCGCCACACCCCAGGTGGGAGAGGCAGTGTTCTCCCTTCTCATAGCAGTGCTACATGTCCTCTAATGCCTAGAGCGGTGGATTAATTTCCATTTTTCCCTGTAATTAGGGCAGGAGAAGGTGACACGGATATCATAATAAAACTTGAATTATAACAAATATTTATTTCCAATACAGAAGTGCATTGGTATCATTATCACATTAACCTTTGAACTAGTTATCTTAAATTTTATAAATTTATATGACAGCAACTTATAATTCTTACATCAGTGATCAGAGGAGTATATAGTTGACCATTTAATCCTTTTATAAAAGATTATTTTACATACACAGTATTATGTGTAGACCACCACAAGATAAATGACCCACAAACACTGTCAAGCCACAACATTGAGCCTGTCATATAGATTTGTAGTAAACAGCACTAACAAGTGACCTATGAAGCCTATTACAGTTGTTAATGTATAATTCATGTTAGTGCATGTCAAGTATTCACAGGACCACTGATGGAAAACAAAGGATAGCCACCAACTCCTGCTTTCTATACCTGTACTTGGTGCAATCATTATTTACAAATACTGTATATACAAGTTAGATTCACAGGATAGATCCACATAGGCCTAAACTCAATTGAGTTGTGTGAAGCAGTGAGACACAGGTCTCGTCTACAGTGAGTCCTCACAGTTCTCTCTACCTTCATTCCCATTTCAACTCTCCTACCAAGTATTATGGGTAATAAAATCACAGTTACATTAATTCACATTCACAAATTCTTAATGACACAAATAAAACAAGTTACAAAAAAAAAAAATTATTGGATACCTCAAACAACTTCAAATAACATTTCAGTATATATATATATATAGGTTATTAACTGGAGTAACATCACAAAACCCTTAGTTTGGAACAATTTGTACCCAGCTATCATTATGTAATATCTCACACAATATACAATAACTCCCTATATACAACAAATTACACAGATTAACATAACATGAATGTACATTATACATTACAAAGATCAGCATAAGAACATCCATCATATATTTCACAGAGCCCTTGGGATTTCCCTTGACATATCTGCACCGTATTACAGAATGGATATAGAATCCTTGGAAAGAATTCAGAGGAGAATGACAAGACTAATCCCGGGCATTAGGAACCTTGAGTATAGAGACAGGTTAAAGCATCTTAATTTGCACTCCCTTGAGAGACGTAGAGCGAGGGGCGACCTGATAGAGGTGTATAAGTGGAAGGCAGGGCTAAACAAAGGGGACATTACAAAGGTACTCAAATTATCCAACCATGGGCGAACTCGTAACAATGGTTTTAAATTAGACAAATTTAGATTTAGGCGTGAAATAGGTAAACACTGGTTTGGAAACAGAGTCGTGGATGAATGGAAAAGTTACCAAATATCATCATTAACTCGAATACGCTGAATTGCTTCAAACATAGGTTGGATGCTCATATGAGCAATAGGGGTTGGGTGTAAACGGGACTGCCCAGTATGGGCCAATAGGCCCGCTGCAGTTTCCTCCATTCTTATGTTCTTATGTTCTTATATCACAGTTGCTAATGTACAGTCCCCAAAAAAGTATCGTTAAATTTTATGTCATAACAATTTGAAACGTTAGACAAAATGCTTTGATATGATCCCCAGTGCATCATCATAAGTTGATACACCTGCTCGCCATACCAGCAACAGCTAGAGATGGGAGTAGGATTGGGGGAGGGAGTTGTCCTTGGATGATATATCCCTGTACTACTGTATATACTACAATTTAACAAGATATCCATATACAGCTACATTAATGTATGTATTGCTTGAAAATGTATATACAGTACTCTTTCATGGTAAAAGGACACTGACGTAGAACTACCACCCGTTCAAAAACAAATCGAGTAACATTGCTCGGAAAGCCTTGAATCACATCAACCCCATGGCTAACGATACTTTTTTGGGGGGACTGTACAATACATGTTAATACATCACAGTTGTTAATGTACAATACATGTTAGTACATCACAGTTGTTAATGTACAATGCATGTTGGTACATCACAGTTGTTAATGTACAATACATGTTAGTACACCACAGTTGTTAATGCACAATATATGTTACTACATTACAGTTCTTATGTACAGACCTGCAATGAAGTTTCTGATACAGTCAAGGTGGAGGGTGTTTAAAGTTTGCCCCACCTGTACTGGACAGCGGGTCTGCTGACCGCTGTCCGTCCATCGTCCCCAATACACAAACAAATATCCTCGCAGTTCAACAATCAAGCTCTGATACTTCCATTTCTCACTAAGAACTGGGAAAGGATGGCATTGATTTGTTTATTAAATTCATCAAACAATTTACCCAATCAAGTTTTACATTATTTGATATAATAGTTACAACATTATTAGATAATCATGGCATAGTGGAGTGTGTGTCTTGGTGGCTAGGATTTGCAATGATGTCAGAATTCTCTAGCTGTATTTTCCCTCTGAATGGTAGTCAGCATACTAAGCAGGAATGTAAGGGATACTATGGTTCTGAAGAGGACGTTTTACCACTGCATCCCAAGTTAGCGGTGAACGATGTGGCCAATTTATTGCACACCAGACAGCAGGATAAGTTTCAACTGAGGTGTTGTCAACACCATTACAGCCGACGGTGTTCAGTAGCTCCACCGACCAGACATGAACAGGAAGGAAGAGATAGTTAGTCTTGAAAGGAAGAATCATCAGCCTCCATGATTCTAGCGTCTCCATACGTGCCATTGCGTATGAGCTTGGCATGTCCCCCACAACTGTAGGCAAGGGAATCAGGAGGTGGGAGGAAAGCGGAAATATGACCAACCTGGGTAAGCTATTATTGAGCCAGCAGAGCACTCTTCATCAATTTCACTATACAGTAATAGTAAAATATTACTGATGCATTTAATATTACCAAGTTATATATGCTTCCCGTTCTCTTCTCAGCAAGATAAGGTGCTGTATGGAGGACTACTCCAGCTGGGTATGGCAACATCACCGCAGCAGCCAGGCGGACCACTTCATAATCGCAGAGTCCACAAGGGAGAGCTTGCAGTTCGTGGTGTCTGACGAAAGTTACATTAGGTGGGTCTACACCACTGCGCTCCCGCAAGGAAAGAACACTTGACAGAAGGAAGCTGGGCAAGGAGACTGGCTTTTGCTCAGCTCTACATTGAGAAAGACGAGGATTTTTGGAAAAGTGATATACTGTATACTCAGATGATAAGGCACTCCACAGCACTTCTCATGGCTAAATTCATTGCTGGAGATGCAATACTGTAATACAAGGCATGATGTTTGCAATATGTTAGGTCATGCAGCTCATTGAAATTACTGTAAATGGTAGTAGTTTTACCATAAAGAATAACAAATAGAATAAAAGGATTTGCAAAGGTTTTATATTTCTACATTATACCTTATCTACAGGCATCCCCCGGGTTATGGAAACTCAGGTTACAGAAATTCACTCTTACGGATTTTGTAAATTATGACCCATATATCTGGGATAAGGACAAAAAATTTGCCATTATGGAAATTGGGTACAAAAATTATAAGTTAATTTTTTTTTTCAATACCTGTACTATTAGAAAAAAAATCAAATTATAAAATTTATTTTGTGTGAACTTCTTGGTGGTTGCTACAAGACTGTACAGTGGGGACGTCGCGTACCCAAGCCATACTAACCCGCTCTGTTTGAACTCACATGCGGTCTTGAGCGCTTGGTCGTGCGACACTTACAAACTGTACTTCTGTATTCGGGACTGTATTACTGTGTACCCTTATTCAAGATGAGTGGAAATAGGCCATCGAGTTCAAGTGAAAGCAGTGGTGCTAAAAGATCCCATAAAGGAATTACATTGGACATTAAGCTTGATGTTTTATGGAGGTTTGATACGGGAGAAAAACTTATCCAGAATGCAAATACATTAGGCCTTGCTACATCTGCAGTGAGCACAATAAGTGATAATAAAGACAAAGTTAGGTCAAGTGCTAAATCGGCTACTCCTTTAACTGCTCATACATTGTTTTTTCATCGAAGTGATGTGATGCTTAATATGGAAAGACTGTTGAATTTGTGGATTGAAGACCAAACAAAACAGAATGTGCAGCAAAGTACGATGATCATTCAGGAGAAAGCAAAAAGTTTGTATGGGGATTTGCAGAAAGAATAAGGTGCAAGTTCTGATGCAAAACCTTTTCAGGCGAGTAAAGGATGGTTTGAAAGGTTTAAGAAGCGCCTTCAGTTACATTACATTAAGATGGTCGGTGAAGCTGCCAGTGCTGATAGAGAAGCTGCACTTGTACAAAATGGATGAAACCGGACTTATTTGGAAGCGCATGCCTGCTAGGATGTTCAATTCCAAATTAGAAAAGTCGGCACCAGGTTTTAAAGCTTCAAAAGATCGTCTGACTCTTCTTTTGGGAGGAAATGCTACTGGTGAAATGAAATTAAAGCCCCTTTCAAGGGCTTCGCCAAGCCTAAGCATTCAAACAAGAAAGCTTGGATGACCATGAGCCTTTTTCAAAACTGGTTCACAAACTATTTTGCCCCTGCTGTTGAAAGGTACAGTAACAAGCGAAATATATCCAACAAAGCCTTGCTCCTCTTAGATAATGCACCAAGCCATCCAATTAGATTGAATAATCTTTCTGATAATGTGCAGTCCCAAAAAGACTCCAGGAGGTTATAGAAAAGGGAGGTCATTGGACAGGCTATTGAGATTCTGTATGAACTGTGTTGGTAACTATTAAAAATAAATGTGATTTCCACCCTCGTACTTTCAATATTTCTCCTCATATCAACATCATTATAAATATCTAATTAACGTTGTTTAAAACATAGACACACTCTATCCAATGTCATTATTATCTAATGACCTTGTAACAATTATATCAAATTATATAAAACTTGATATGGTAAATTGTTTTGTGAATCAAACAAACAAAAGAATGATATCCTTTCGTAGTCCTTATTGAGAAATGGAAATATCAAAGCTCGATTGTTGAACTACAAGGGTGCAGTTTGTGTGGGGAGGGTGATGGCTGGACAGCGGACCCGCCATCCAATAAGGGTGGGGGTGGACTTCGTACTCTCCACCTTGAGTGTACCAGAAACTTCGGTCCAGAACTGTACAATACATGTTAGTACATCACAAATATTAATGTACAATATACTGGGTACAAGTGACAACTAGGTCAACAACATCACTACCTGGCTTGACCAAGCCAAATCAAAATGGCTGCATCTACAGTACATGTGACTATTACATGTTAGCAAAATGACTGCAGCTACAAGTTCTATTAGACTCATAGAATACCCCTCAACTAACACAAGATTATTTTTCAAACATATTTTTTTATGTCATGGTAACATACTTAGGCCATGGTAGAAGTTTTTTCATGCACAAGTTTATGATGTTTGAGAGTACCCTTCTGGGAGAAACATTTCCCACATTCATCACATTCAAACTCCTTTAAACCACTGTGTAGAAGCATGTGTGTTTTGAGACCACTCTTTTTTGCAAAATGTTTCCCACATTCCTCACATTGAAACTCTTTTATACCACTGTGTCCAATTATGTGTGTTTTGAGACTACTCTTTTTTGTAAAATGTTTCCCACATTCCTCACATTCAAACTCTTTAATTCCACTGTGTCCAATTATGTGTCTCTTGAGATCACTCTTTCGTGCAAAATGTTTCCCACATTCGTCACATTCGAACTCTTTTATACCACTGTGTCCAAGTATGTGTGTTTTGAGACTACTCTTTTTTGTAAAATGTTTCCCACATTCCTCACATTCAAACTCTTTTATACCACTGTGTCCAAGTATGTGTCTCTTGAGATCGCTCTTTTGTGCAAAATGTTTCCCACATTCCCCACATTCAAATTCTTTTAAACCACTATGTCCAAGTATGTGTCTCTTGAGATCACCCTTTTGTGCAAAATGTTTCCCACATTCCTCACATTCAAACTCTTTTATACCATTATGTCTTAGTATGTGTCTCTTGAGATGACTCTTTCGTGTAAAATGTTTCCCACATTCCCCACATTCTAACTCTTTCATCTTACTGTGTACAAGAAAATGTGTCTTAAGAGTAGACTTCAAGTAGAACTGTTTGCCACATTCTTCACAGGAGAACTTTTCTTGTCTGGTTGACATTGTGAATTTCAACTTTGTTACACTTGGTCTTGAAATGTGATGTCACACTATCTGAAACAAAATATTTTGCCTTAGATAATATTCGTATAACAAGAACAATTTGTAAATGAAAACTAGAAGTGACTAAATCAGCTTGTGTAAAATTAAAGCTAATCAGGGTTTATGTAATATAATCACTATTATCCTTACCATCATTATCAGAATTATCATCTATATCATCATACTTAATATCACCATCATTATTATCATCATCACCATCATTATCACATATCCTCACAATCATCACCAGTTAGATTTTCAGGGCAGACGTAAGGAAAATTCCACGAAAGTACCAGATTTCAGAAGGGCAAACTTTGACAGTTTAAAGAGGCAGCTGAGAGAGGGGGTGTCGCGCTTGGCCGTGAACCTGACAGATGACACCGACCTGATAACGAGATCTGAGATTGCCGAGTTCCACGACAATTTAAATAGTGAGATACTTAATGCACAAAGGCAGAACATACCGTACAAAAAACTCAGATCAGACAACAATGACCCTAAATGGATAAATAATTATTTAAAGAACATCATTGGCCAAAGGAAGGCTATAGGTAGAAGGATAAAGCGTGGCGAAATTCACCTCCGGGACTATTATAGGGTATTGGCGAGTAGGGTTAAAACCAAGATAAGGAAAGCAAAGAGGAATAATGAGGTAAGGATAGCAAGGGAGGCGAAGACTAACCCCAAAGGATTCTACCAAATGTATCAAACTAAAACAAAAGAAAAGATTGGACCAATACGGTCAGACTCCGGCGAGCTCACTCATAACGATGGAGAAATGAGCAATAATTTGAATAAATATTTTTCAACAGTTTTCACCACCGAAAATTTAAACATGATACCTGAGGCACCGACTCTATTCAGAGATAGTGAAGAAAAAAAATTAAGTGAGATAGTAGTGACTAGTAACGATGTCAGTAAGCAAATAGACAAATTAAAGCCTAATAAGTCACCTGGTCCCGATGAGATATTTGCCAGAGTATTAAAGGAATGTAAGGAAGAGCTTAGTATGCTCTTAGCAAAGTTGTTTAACATGTCCTTAAAAACAGGTGTAGTACCAGAATCCTGGAGGATAGCGAATGTAATACCGATTTTCAAGAAGGGGGGATAGATCACTATCCTCTAACTACCGCCCAATCAGTCTAACATCAATAGTAGGCAAATTACTGGAAGCAATCATTTCAAACTCTATTCGAAATCACCTGGAGAAGCACCGATTGATCAATGATTCCCAGCATGGCTTCACAAGCGGACGTTCTTGCCTAACTAATCTATTAACATTCTTTTCATCAGTTTTCGAATCGGTGGACGAGGGGCACAATTATGATGTGGTATATCTCGACTTTAGTAAAGCCTTCGACAGAGTCCCCCACGAAAGACTAATTAGAAAGGTAGAAGCTCATGGCATCAAAGGTGACATCCTTAAATGGATTAGGGCGTGGTTACAGGACAGGAAACAGCGAGTGAGCATTAACGGCACTAAGTCCCATTGGAGCAACGTCACAAGTAGAGTTCCCCAAGGCTCAGTACTTGGACCATTATTGTTTATTATATACATAAACGACATAGATATCGGCATAGACAGCAACATAAGTAAATTTGCTGATGACACTAAAATAGGACGTGTTATCAAATCTGACGAGGACTCGGCAAAACTACAGGAAGATCTAAACAAATTTTTCGAATGGTCTGAAAAATGGCAGATGAAATTCAACGTCGACAAATGTAAAGTACTCAGTATAGGTGTAAACATGGAAACCAGATACCAGATGAACAACGATGCCATAGAGAAATCCGATCAAGAGAGATTTAGGAGTAATGATAAGTAGGAACCTTAAGCCAAGTAAACAATGTGTTTTTGCTCGTAACAAGGCTAATAAAGTACTTGGGTTCATACAAAGGAGTGTTAGTTACAAGACTAGCGAGGTCATCCTAAAACTGTATCTTGCTCTTGTGAGACCACACCTGGATTACGCAGTTCAGTTCTGGTCACTGTATTACAGAATGGATATAGAATCCTTGGAAAGAATTCAGAGGAGAATGACAAGACTAATCCCGGGCATCAGGAACCTTGAGTATAGAGACAGGTTAAAGCATCTTAATTTGCACTCCCTTGAGAGACGTAGAGCGAGGGGCGACCTGATAGAGGTGTATAAGTGGAAGGCAGGGCTAAACAAAGGGGACATTACAAAGGTACTCAAATTATCCAACCAGGAGCGAACTCGTAACAATGGTTTTAAATTAGATAAATTTAGATTTAGGCGTGAAATAGGTAAACACTGGTTTGGAAACAAAGTAGTGGATGAATGGAACAAGTTACCAAATATCATCATTAACTCGAATACGCTGAATTGCTTCAAACATAGGTTGGATGCTCATATGAGCAATAGGGGTTGGGTGTAAACGGGACTGCCCAGTATGGGCCAATAGGCCCGCTGCAGTTTCCTCCATTCTTATGTTCTTATGTTCTTATTATCACATATCCTCACAATCATCACCATCAACATTATTGCTATCATTATCATCATCATTATCACCATCAAGTCCATTTATACATAAATTTTTACCCTAAATAATTTCTCTAAACTCTGATTAATTATAATAATAAAAAAAAATTATTATAATATTTACGGTATTAGGCATGTGTCAAGTCCTCTCAAGGGATGCAGCGGCCAAATTGATACAGTGCCTCTGTGCTTGTCTCCTGTCAGAAGGGTAGCAAGTTTACACACTGTTTACCCAGCTAAGACCGGGTACCTAAAATTACACATGACAGACGGGCATTTTTTTTAACATTCGGGTTGTTTATTAGTACACGAAAGCGCCCTCTGAGCCGTAATACATTTTTTTAAACCAAATTTTGTTGGGTTATCATTTGGTAGTCCGACAATATTATTGGAAAGTTCGGGATAAGTCCCCGGGTGTGGGTAGGCACCCGAAAGACTTATCCCGAATGTTCAAACTCGTTTTACATGAATCAAAAATGTCTCTGAAATACAATACTGTATATGTAAATTAAGATGATATAATAAAGAAAACAAATATTTAGATGTCCTAATAACCGGTCCCAATGGAAATGTATATATTTTTAAGAGACCGCCGTGTACCCCCGTGAAGTTGTACCTTCAACTCCGAATATTTTTCGTCTCCCAATCTCCAATTTTATCGAGCATTGCATTCCTACAATCATCCTCTTATAGCTTCAAACATGGTAAGTAACGCACTTTTTTGTGATAGATAGATGTAATGCCAATTCCAATTCGCCAATATATTATATAGGGAAGACGTAAGATGAGCCAAATGTACTTGGTAGAGTGCTGAGATAATAGTTTACAACAAGTGTCATCTGTGACCCACGCTGATAATTACCTTGGAAAAAATTTCTCCTGCTATATTTCACTGTTTGCGTTGTTGTTCCGGTTGTGTTTAGGTACTACCAATGTTTGTAAGTTTATGTTAGGCAACATAAAATATTTTTTAGAGGTAAGGTTCTAACTCAGAGTTGGAAAAAAGTGTCATAATTAATTAATGATGTTTTCAATCACTTGATTTTAACCATGTCAGTCCTATCTTAACTTGAGCAACAATAAAACAAAAAGTTAAATTTCTTAAGGAAATTATCTCTAATAGCTATGCAACAAGTTTGCAAAATATTATCAATAGTAATTTATCTAATAAACTATAGTTACTGCATTATATAGATAATAGATATTAAATTTTGTTTTATTTTTTCAGGCTGGCATTATAGCATTCTGGTATGCAGAGCTGGCTGATGACGTGAGGCTACCAAGGATTGTTATAAGAGACCGTCAGAATTATTTTGCTTATCTTTCTGAGGAGGAGTTATAGGCTGTCCAAGGAATGCATCCATGAACTTCTTGAACGAGATGAGCCACATATGCCAATACAGTGACCCCTCGGTTAACGAACTCAATCCGTTCCAGAAGGCCGTTCGTTAACCGAAAAGTTCGTTAACTGAAACCATTGTTTCAATGGGTTTTTGGGTAATTGGTTCCAGCTCACCGAAAATTGCCGAAATTCAACAAAAATGGTAGAAAAGTTCACTTACTTTGAGGTGTGTATGTAGAAGGCTCCTGGATGATGATGATGATGATGATGATGATGGGAATTAGAATGGGGGGTGGAGGAGAAGGAAGAAGAGAAGGCATTGGGGTGGAAGAGAAGTCACCCCATGGCACCATTTCATCCATAAAATTTTAGTTCTCTTGGTGTATTTCAAGATTATTTTCTTTAAATCAACACTGCACTGCATTATATACTGTCAATATGTAAAATATATTTCAAAATGACCAATAATTTGCTTGGAAACACAGAGAAAAAGCATTTAGTTGAAGAGTCTCAAGCAAGATGTTACCTCCACTGAAAACAGAGAGACTAACGCCTGTCTGGTGTGTTAACAGGCTGGATGGCGCGCCAGAAACTAGTTTCTTTACCTTCAATTATGTTCAATAATTGTTAAAATGACTAAAAAAGTTAATATTAAACTTTTGAAATTATTGAATAGTATAAACTTCTTGATATTTACTAAAATAGTAAGGAATTTAAGCCCTAGAACCGATTAATGTATTGGCGGACTGATACTAAAGCTGGTTGCCCGGCCAGTGCAAGCGAAAACATGTTGAGGTCGGTTCGCAAGAAATTCGTTAACCGAATTTTTGTTCGTTAACCGAATTGAAGATCCTTATGGAAGGCCGTTCATTAACCAAAATTTCGTTAACCGAGGCGTTCGTTAAACGAGGGGTCACTGTAGTTGAAGAGGGACGATGTAAGAAATTCTGGTGTTATTATAGAGTGCAGTCTACAAGATAATTGGGTTAAGTTAGCTTTAGATTAGGTCAGGTTAGGTTTGGTAATGTTATGAAAGGTAATGTTTGGAAAGGTAATGTTAGGAAAGGTAATGTTAGGAAAGGTAATGTTTGGAAAGGTAATGTTTGGAAAGGTAATGTTAGGAAAGGTAATGTTAAGGAAAGGTTAGGTTTGGTTAGGTTAGG